TATAATTTGTAACCTGGGGACTGTGTGTAGTGTGTTTTATAATTATATATTACTATAATAATATGTGAATATTAAGTTCTGGCCCACTCTTCCATATAGATCTGTGTCAATTCAACAACAATTGTGGGTTTGTAAGTCAGGGTAGGTCAGGTCAGGTTGGGGAGCATGCACTGGTACAGTGCATTGCTGCACCAGCCACATGATGAAACACCTCAGGATCCCAGTTGGCAAGCCCCTGAGCTGACTCTAGTTCAGTCCCGCCCTCCTGAAATGGCCATCTATCTGCCACAGCCAAGTATTATGTGGACGTCCCCTTGGCCTGGTCTAGCTGCTCAAGTCCTCAGCAAAGTAAGTAGAAATTCTAATCTTCCCCAAGCTCTTCTTCAGTATTAAAATAGACAAGATACTTTCATTTGTCACGTGTTAAGTACATGTACCTGTACACAGTACAGAAAAGTATGTAGAAAGTTTAATCTTCCCCAAGCTCTTCTTCAGTATTAGATAGACAAGATACTTTCATTTGTCACATGTTAAGTATATGTACCTGTACACAGGAATTCTTTGGTTTTTGCATATGCCATCTTGCTCTCCCGTGAAGCACAGCTACCTATATGCAGGTGAGAGCAAACCTTAGGGTAAGAGTGCAGAGTAAGCCACTTATACAGCACCTCTGGAGCAGTGTTTAGGGTTAAGGACCATGCTTATGGCTCTGACAGTGACATGATTACTCTGCCACCTATAAGATTTAATTGCAAGTCAGTGCAAGAATATCAAATGAACAAAACAAAAGACATAAGCCATTAGTATTTGATAAAAGGCAACCATGCAGGAGTTTTCATCCAACAGCTTTACAATTCTATCAAGAATATATAAAAAATTATTCCCCCATACAAGCCATTCAGCTAATGGCAGACCATTGTCTGGGCAGAGCTTTACAATAATAAAGGCCAGTACAGACTGACACAGCCTGTAGAGATTAATAAACTAGCTAACATCAGTGTACTGCTGGGTACAGCAAATGTGCTGAATGATGCATGTCAGAATGCTGACATGCTCTAGATATCTTTTCATGAATTGGTTATAGCAGCTTTAAAAAAAAAAACAGCAAAAACTCAGACAGTGTTGTTGCTGTAGGCTGAACACTGGAAGTCTGTAAAAACATTGCCTGGTCTGATGAATGTGAATCGTACTGGTTCATGTGATTCAGAAAACCAGATTATATGCAAACAATAAAACAAAAAACAAAACTACATCCTGCTACGAATCAACAATCAAAGCTGGCTGGCGGACATCTGAACATTGTATACCATCACAAAATGTGCAAAAGAGTTATGCTCCTTCTGATCGTATCATCTGCTAAATCAACAGAAAAATTGGGTTTGTGAGCCTCACTGTCACTTTCATCCTACTGGTGCCTTGATTGTTGTTCTCAGACTGCTGGTCTATTGGAAAAGATGCTGTTAGTATCTACACTCACCTAAAGGATTATTAGGAACACTATACTAATACGGTGTTTGACCCCCTTTCGCCTTCAGAACTGCCTTAATTCTACGTGGCATTGATTCAACAAGGTGCTGAAAGCATTCTTTAGAAATGTTGGCCCATATTGATAGGATAGCATCTTGCAGTTGATGGAGATTTGTGGGATGCACATCCAGGGCACAAAGCTCCCGTTCCACCACATCCCAAAGATGCTCTATTGGATTGAGATCTGGGGCCTCATGTATAACAACATGCGTAGAATTCACACTAAAACATGGCGTACGGACAAAACTAGGAATGTGTGTAAGCAAGCGAACATCCAGATGCATAAAACTGTGCGTAAGCACAGATCTACGCACATTCCCTTTATAAATCCCAATGAG